TATACCTCGGCACTCCTACCAGCCACGACCGGTTTGCGTGTGCCAGTAACTGTGAATCATATATGATTCACGCGCTCCGGTATTGCATTTCGAAAGAGATCGTGGGTATAGAAGGGAGTTAAGCTCACCAGATGGACTTCACATCTCATTCCTCCAGGATTTTAGCAGTGAGGCCAGCTTACAGAAATTTGATGCACATGTTCCCAAACTGATGCCCTTCGCGCTGAAATCTCGTGCGCAGAACCCTTATAAGATCGTCGCTGTCGTGTTAGCGAAGCAGTGAAAATGACTTGTAGCTTAACCGTTGTGAAGCAACGATCGGTCTTTCTTCGCGCGGTAGAATGACAGGGAGTTCAGACTATGGCTCGAGTACCGTGCAACTCATCAACACCACAGCTAAAAATAGATATCCTTAGACATTCTGTTGTTCCGGGCCCTGCAGTACGTAGGCTCCAAGAAGTTTAACGGTTGCAAAAACTGACACGTAATCCTTGATAGTAAGGAGGAATATCCTACTGAGAATAAATTTATTTTTGACAAATTAAATCATAAAGGATGGAATTGTCGGAAATGGAAAGGGTTCATCTCTAAGAGAATTTTTTGCACTCCCAAAAACAAAACAATTCACTGATAAATCTTCACTAGTTCCATTAAAGAAGGTGGGATGTTTATGAAGGGTTCAGCACGCCATTATTTCTTCTTTTTAACGGTCTACCATGACTATTTTGATTGCTAAGTAACTACGACAAAATTTTGAAGTGAAAATTCTCCACAAGATTTTTGAGACAACACTTTGAGCACGGCTTAAATATAATTATATGCCACTAATATTCTATTTTTCGTTAGTTTTGAAATATATTCAAAAAAATTTTACTTATGATTATTCTTCAAAACTGTTCCGTTGACTCTTCTTCCATTGGCAATTGATTTTCGTTTCAGGATTCTCTTCCAGAATGTATTCCTAGTTCTTTGTACTCATCAAAAGGATGTATTCAGTACTCGATAACTGGTATACTTGAATACAAAAATAGCGGTATTTTTTTAAAATTCGATGAGTTCCTTGGCTTATTAGCACTTCCATTTGCAGTGGATGACATAATTGTAAATTATCATGCCATTTATAGAAGCATTCCTAGAAGCATACAATTTTAGCCCAATGCTCGAGAAATACTAGGTTTCCATTTTTTATTGAATTCAGGTCAATTGATCTTTTTTCATTTATATAACCAGGCGTCACATTTTCCACAGATCTCACGCTTTTTCCACTCTATTTGTTCTCCCGGATCCGTCACGCAATGAGGTCTGTGGAATTACAGGAGGGCTATGCTGATACGTGGCAATTTTTTCTTCTTCATGAATATCGTCGAATGCTGGACTGACTCTCACTTGATTCCTGAGAAAGCTCAAGTAGAACCTTTTCAGACATTCATTCACCTCTGACTGTCTCTGACTTCTACGCATGGAAGGATTTTTCTCCATGCAACGCTGGTACGAATTTGTCCACAAAGCGTAATGGGCGCCTTTTTGACTCTGAATGGGCTGGAACCAGAAAAGATCCACGCTTTGTACGATAGCACTAGCCGCTGTGCTTCACGCAACAGACAATCAATTTATACTTACTTACTTGATAACTGAATTGCTGGTCCTCAGTTGCTATGCGGGCCTCAGCACATCTTCATTTTTCGGAGGTCTACAGGTTAAGCTATTGTGATTCCCTCGAATCCCGAGGTCAGCGTGGCCAAAGTCTGACGCAGGTCTTCACCACTATGGGCAGTCGGAGCCTTTGTAAATTAGAGAAGAATTTGCGTCCATGCGACTTTGATACCAGGGTGGTGGTGGATCCTGGTATTGGTTTAGTCTTAGCTAGGATTCTTGATAGAAACGCCAAACTCCTTCTCAGCTTTGGAGACCCTGCCAGGCGATGGATCTCCCGGTGTACATTGCAGTCCGACGCCCAGGAACACCTCCCGGTCACGATGAGGCGGTAAACGGTTAGGAGAATGAATTTATAATCTTCAAAAAATATTTTTGTGCAAAATTTATAAAACTATTAAAAGAGACATTAAATAGTCTCTTAAAAGAATGCCAAAGTGCTAAATAACGTTCATTCAGCGGCTTGTTAAACTGCTTCATAAATTATTTTGAGAGTGAGGTTTTTGGAAGCAGAACAAATGCTCTCATCGTTTTTACAGTCTACTTCTTATTTAAACAAAAATAATTTTAGTATAAACAAGTTCATTAGCACTTTATTCTTTGATTTTGTTTTCAAGTTTTTAAAATTCCGATTGACCAAATAATTCATATATGGTATCTGTAGCACGCCAAAGATATGTCGTGGGTTCTACGCGTTAGAGAAACAAAAAGGACAAATTAATTCCGATATTGCTAAAAGACAAAGCCCAATTAAAAGCGAGACATCACGTGAAAAAATCGTAATAAGGCTATCGTACTATTAATGCCTAGCTGAGAAAAATTTGTCGTTTCGTTGGTCCTATGGAGGACACAGCAGAATCCTTACGGTGTTCTCACTTCATTCTGTTGAGAACACCGTAAGGATTCTGTTGTGTCCTCCATAGGACCAACGAAACGACAAATTTTTCTCAGCTAGGCATTCATTGGCCGTCTTTTGCCCAGGTATTGTCGAAGAACGGAGAAATCCCACATAGAATTCTTGACTGTTTTAGAATTTTTTCTTGAATTTTGGAGATTCCCTTGCTACAACGAGTGGGACCTCGCTTAGTTATTCAATGAAATCATTTGATTGGTAGTGGGCGGCTTCGTGTCCGCGACGGTACCAACACAGTTCATAAGCAAAAGCTTCTAATTACTAGTGTGTGTGCGCTGTATTTAGAGATCGTAGCTTTTATGGAGCTTAAACTGTCTTCGAAAATTTTCGGCTTCTCTTTATTTATTCTGCACCAAGCCTGCCGTATCGAAGTTCTCTTGAAGTCAAACGAACAAGGTCCTTTTTCTTAGTGTACCTGGAGAGTTGCGCCCACATTTATTACGTTAGACTATGGCTCGTAAATCGCTGTAATCATAGAAGCTGTCGCCTTTTAAGAGAGTAGAAGAGAAGTTTGTTTGTGAGAAGGTGTTCTGAACCACGCTGGGTGTACTTCCCAGTTCCTTGATTTCAGGCTTACATTTCGCATTCATGCAAGTGCTTCCATACATTCATTATTAATACATCTATTTATATTGGAAAAATGTTCTTCGATTCGGTGTGACACAAACAAACCCTCAATCAACTGGTTCTACAGTTCTTTGTGACAAGTAAGAGGTAGTTTTTAGTTTGTGTTCAAATGCCTGTTCCACCACCTGGCCAAACGTCATGTTGTCTTGCAAACAACGTGCTAGAAATTCATCAACGAAGGAGATTTCTAGGAACAAAACTTAAAGAATTAGTCCTCGTATATAATATTGAAATATTTGCAAAACTTCGGACCGCAGATGTATGCGGTGGGGAACGAACGCTCTATTGTCCTTTCCGGGGAGTAGCGCACTTCACCACCACACCATGCGGGTCCTTCGTTTTACCTGTCTCTCAGCGCGCTACTCCACGGAAAGGACAATAGCGCGTTCGTTCCCCGCCGCATAGACCTGCAGTCCGGAGTTTTGCAAATATCTCAGCATTATATACGAGTTATATTTCGCAACATGCTCTGCCATTAAAAAGAAAAAGGCAGTAGATAAAAGGGTTGAAGAATTAGTTTCGAAGATATGCAAGAATACTAACACCGAAGCACAGTGCTTAAAATGTGTTTAAATTTTTTTTCTCCCACTTCGAGAAGATGGCTCACTGAGGAAGATCTGGCTCGACACGAAGGCGAAGACGCAACGTCGAGGCGAACAACAAGCATGGACCATCGACTCGGATCACCGGCTCTGAGGAAGACGAAGACGTCGAAACATTAGCCGAAAATAAATATATTTATCAACCTCGTGCAAGCTTATCAAGAAAGAATACATAATGTGTTTAAATTGTTGAGCTTACACGAGGTTGATAAATATGTTTATTCGTCTAACGTTTCGACATCTTCGCCCTCATTAGAGCCGATGATCCTAGTCGATGGTCCATGTTGTTGTCTAGTTGCCCAGCAAGATCAACAATTTGAACATATACTGACTATTTTACTACCGAGATAAATGATAGTTGGTTTCGAAACTGTTGTATTGCTATTCGCAAAGCGCTTAGTTTGCTGAGCGACTGGATCTTTGTGAAATCACGCAGCGTGTTCGACAATTTTACGTAATTGTTTACATTTTCAATGAAGCTGTTCATAAAAATCCTTGGCAACATAGAACAGAAACAACTCTGTTGATTTCTAAAACTATATGACTGCTCAGACTGCTAAGAATAATTTTCAGAACTGCTATGAAAATAGGGAATAGCACATTGGTCAGCAGTGCAGCCCGTCTGGAAGGAAGATGCTGGTCCTTGCTCTACCTCTCAATGCTCTCCTTCAGTCCACATGGAAAAGCTTTACCCTGGTTTTCTCAAAGATTGCAACGAGAATTGAATTGACCAGCATTCTACGACGTTCATAAGGCGAAGTCCTCAGGCAGGAGAAGAAGCAAAAAGCGAAACGTTCGAAGACCAATATGGATATTGGAAGAGAGGGAAACAAATAGAATGGAAGAAGTGCTGGTATCCACATAGTAGATATGATGAAGGGTCATGCAAAAAGGTACTTGTTTACATCGATCTTTATCTGTCTTTTTGCTTTATAGTGCACACTTCATTAAGGCTCATGTTCCCAGATGAAATATCTTATATATCTAAATGATCCTTTAATCCTGTGAAGTGGACGACATGATTCCAGTAAACATAATAGACCTTTCTGCGTTTCCTTTTTTCCGTTACCACTTTCTTAACAATAAATTAAGTTGCTACGAATATTTTTTTTTAAAACATGTCTCAACAAAATTTGCCTCATCTATCAGTACTAGTGTAAAACCTCAACCCGTTTACATTAACCACGAAATACTCATAATGAGCCATGGAGGTTCTCTTTGTATTTCTCTGCCGTCTTCACAAGAAGACATTTAAGATGGAAGAGCAGATGGCAGGTTTTACGCCGGTTGAATGTACGGTGTGCGTAAACTTACTAACCAAGCACTGGGCTCACAAAATGTTGAATTTTCCTGGAATCTAGCGCTTTTCATGTTTCTATCCACGTGATAGGTCTATGGGGTAGATACAATAAGGAGTTGCTACTCGAATGTGGAGGTATTGGTACAACGTCGTTCCTGCAAAAGTTAGTAATTACATCCTCAAGTATCTAGTAGAAATGTCGTGAAGAAGGAAACACATAAAGTATCACTGGAAGGTGGCACTTTACTTAATCTCATATACACTTCACAATTATCCTCTTTATAGCTAGCCATTGCTCTTCAAATTGGGTTGCTCGTTTGATAGGAACGTAGGTAGAGCAGTGGTAATGCTGAAGTTCAACACGCACTAGTCCTTGGTTCGACGTCACACGCAAATATTCGAGCATTTCGTTGAATATGGATACAAGGGAAGGAATCGAATACAAGAAGTGCTGAGATCTGGACGACATGTGTGGCGGCGTCTCATATGAAAAAAATATTTAGTTTACTGCGGGCATAAAAATCAATGACGGTGTGGCTTTCGTCTGTGTAAGCAGGAAAGAGTGTAAATGCGGCAAAAGAAACGTAAAACAATTTAGAACATTATCACATATTCATATCACATATTATCACATATCATATTGTGTATTGAGTGGTGATTTGACTTCTAGATGGTCAGCCATCTGTGGTGAAAGCGGTTCGAGGTATTACCATTATCGAAGAACTGGATCTCAACAAGCTTTCGAAATCGTATTTTGAGCCGATAGCCGAGTTTGAGCATCGGAAATTTGGATGGTTTTCATGTTTTGGAGGGCAAATACGCCTTACACTGAATATGGATCGATCGGCATTTGTGTGTGGAGAGGGTATGACAATTGTTGGTGAGCAGCAATTCATTCAAACAAAGTATTATGAGTGAATGAAAAAACGCCTCACATTCTTAACTTTCAGGAAGAATCGAGAACAAAAGTGACCGCCACATAGAGAAGGTTAGCGCATGTCTTCAGAGGATAATTCGTTTCGGTACCGAAATTGACGAAAGTAATGAGGTGCTATTCATTAATCTAACCATGTTTGAGCTTTAAATATTCTGTTAATAAATATACCGGGCAATCAATTTCAAACATTACTGAGCAAACTATGTAGGAACAAAAACTTCTCCAAAGACTCAGACCTTGGAAGTACTTGATTGATAGGCGTTTTATACCTGTCGTTCAACAAAATATCTTTGTTCATACAGCATTACAGACTCCATTGACCGACATACAAGAGATGCAAGAGGATTTTCTGGCGATGTCTATCGAAGGAGGATCATGCATCAAAATCGATAAGAAAATCAACATTCCACCTCTAGTACCAAGGTAGTACAGCTAAATACTAGTGTCAGTCACGGAAACTATTTATGTGTACTGACGGTTGAACTCTCATTTGCATGCCTTATGTGATAGAAAAACACAGCAATTTAACGAGTCCACCGTGTTTTTTAAAGCGAATACGGGTTCAACCAATCATTGATCGTTTAATTCCGTCCCCGCGTACTGTAGAAATTAAGATAGACCGTTTCAACGTCTTGTGGAGTCGGGAATGGAATTCCCGTCGTTCTGAATAAGTGCCATCCGAGGAAGTAGTGAAAAATGAACATAATTTTCGTGCCCTAGAAACAGAGAATTTTGAGTTGTACTCGCTTCATAAGAAGACCGATTTCTGTAAAAACAACTTTTGTATCGAGTTGGGTTTGACACTAATTGGATATCGCTGTTTGATTTTATAGAAGTATGTGGGAGAAGCGCTTATGGATAATTGAGCGATGAAATATCGTTTTTTCTGCAAAGCTCTGCAGAAAGTGCAACGTTCATAAGGTTCTAATTAACAAAAAATATCTCACCAAAACAGCTGTCTGCTTTAGCTTCACATTCTCGAACTTCTATCTGCTAACAATTTTGAGAAAGAAACGCTGGTTTAATAGAAGATTGTCCTATGACTACTAAATCCCGCATTTATCACTACTCAGAAAATTCTTCTCCATATTGGACCTTCGTTTATGCTCTACATTTCTTCGTTCGTCAAGCGCATTACACAGCGTCCTACACAACAGCAATTATTTTCAGCACGCCTTTTCGAGATTTACAACGTCGGGATCATCGTGATGAACATGGCAATCGCTTTAACCTACGCAGGAGGTCCCTTGCCGTTGCTCGACGTTCGTCGATGACAAACCAGCGGTCTCGTACCTCATTGAGCTCACCATCACAAATTCAACGACTAATGGCTGTCTCTTACAAATACATGATAATTGTAAAAAGTGGAGGTTGGTTTACGACTCAGCAGTGCCCCGTGAATTTTTTTTCACAGCATCTAAACCGATGGTAGTGGCAGGATTATGCAAACAAAGAGCTTAACACAGAACCAGGCAAAATACCACACTAGATTTGCATGAATATCATGCTCAGAGACAAAAAAGGCGACAAGTCGATTGTGTGTTTTCTGTTAGTGTTTACAGTGCTTTAGGTGATGACGTTATCGTCATTAACGTTCCAGTTATTATTGGTTCGAAACCTCTGATTGATACAATGGGTGCGGATAATCAAACGACAAGGTAGGATGGTGGATCATAGATGGGTTTCGCCCAAAAGTTTTCAAGTAACTCAGTTCATGGTGAGGCCCGTATTACTACTAAAAGTGTAATCATTAGGGATATGAGTGGCAGTGCCGTGTACAGGCTGTGCAAACATGATCGAGCCATTTCATTACTGGACAGTAAAGAGCGAACACTGTGCAACAAAGCTCAAGTCAGTGCTTACGATTTTTCTGGTAGAATATCTCTCTAAATGGATGATATTAGAAGGGCAAATATCCCATCTTACCCCAAGAAATAACAAACGGTGCCGTTCTTCAATGCGCTTTCCACTTCTTGTAGTATGCCTTTTGCAATAGGCAATATTGAACATTGACATCGGTCAATATGTGCTATGCAGATGTTTGAAAATTAATGGTGAAACCTGTAAACAGGTAATTGGAGGATTTCGTTGCCTCATTTATTCATTACGTCTTACATTCGGCTTCAGCACGCCCAGAAATTTTGTCACAACGACAGACTCGTCGCAAATTTCTCTGGCCATTAATTTCACCCGTACAAGACCTGTCACGAAGAAAGTACTTAAATGAAGTTCCAAACATGAATTCCACTTAGCTAGCTATCGTCTTTCTACTGCTTTATGCTATACTGTAAAAGATTTGCTGAGCGTAAATAGTAGACAGTGAATATCGCCGAATTCAAGCTATTCATATTTTCTGCTTAACTGTGTTCTTAACAGGTCTTGAAGTTTTTTCGTTTTTACTCTTCCAATTATCGATGATCAGTACATTTCAGCTACAACATCTGAATATGTATCCGTTCTATTCGGAATTGAGTACGTCGTCGAAACAGAGCAAAAAACTCGGCACCATTGCAACGACGATCCGGGCCGAGAACAAGGTGGTGAACACGTTGCTGCACACGATGGTTGAGGATCATCATGAGAGGTGAGTGACCGGTACACTGAAATGCAGTACTCATCGTGACATCCGGCTCATTATATGCTTGTCAGATTGAGAAGATCAATCTTTGTTTAACATTAAGATCGACGTCCGACTGCAATGCTGTAACTGCTTTTGATTCGCCACATATTATTGACACCGAACGTGCACCGACGTCAGCCAACATATAAGAGAACTCTAAGTGTAAAACTGCAAACATTGATGAATGAATGAATGAATGAATGAAGGAATGAACGGATGAATAAAGGAACGAGTGAATTTGCATAATCAACCATTTTCACGCATGCATTTTAAGAGACGAGATCCAATTCACAACATTGAGTTGAGCCCGTCATTTTACCAATGCTTTCAGAAAACCAGGAACTATTTGATTGATGGTTATAGAAAGGAAAGGAAATAAAAAGAAAAGAAGAGGGAAATATCGATATAAAACCCCTTCAGTGCAGTGTTTGCACTTTGCTGTAACAAATACATCTTGTAGGATGAAAATTTAGCCAGAATGCTGAGAATCAAATGGAAACCAAGAGAGTTGTAAAACGAGCAAAGAGAGCGATGAACCGGTCGAGATAACCAAAATAAGCACATCTGCGGTGTGCTTATGGTGATGATCTCAGTCGGTTCCACCCGAAGTTAGGAAATATTTTTTATCTTTAGGGAAAAAGAAGGTGAAAATCAGTAGTAATTCATTATTTTCCGAGTTTTTCAATGTTTCACTAGGTAAGTCAAAGTTCAAGAAAGTGTAAGATACACTTCGGCTTTACATTTTGACATCTGGTTTTACTTTCAAATAACATAGAGCGATTTAATTCAGGCCTTCTTGCAGGTTTATAGAGCAGTTTGTGATAGGAATTTTACTGTTCGTAGTAACTAAAATATTCAGCAACGACAGTTCCTCGTAGGACGTTTAATGATAAAAAACAAATGTAATCGTGACTTGTGAGCAGTGCATAAGTTGATCAAACACTGCTATCAGCGACAAGAAATCATTCTTTTTGATTGAAATTATACACATACAAAATCAGATAACGAACTCGTAACGATGCCGAATCAGTTTTACATCTATCAATGTGCTATTGATCTTTCATTCGACGGCGAAACAGCCGTGATATGCGCTTCTGCGGTTGCAATGGGCTTTTCATTCCGTTCCGATAACAGCTTTTCCTCGACATGAGAGAACATTCTCCTCAGAGTAGCTAAAGCTAATAAATAGGAACTGATTATTTTCAACTTACATGGTAGGTTGAGTCGATGGTTGCTATACCGAAAGAAACTATTATTTATCGGTGATTATGGAGAGTAGCGATATGAATTCGTCGTCGGCAGAATACGTATACAATACTCATTCATGTCGGGTTGGTTGGAGCTTCTCGTGACGAGAAGTGGACGACGGTGATGCTGATGCTGACGGGTGGCGGTGAGTGAGTGAGGTGGAAAGAAGGCGCCAGCGATCCGGGATGGGGGCAGGTTGTCCCTCGGCGAGGCAACCGGCCGACTGATGCTGCTGGTGCGGCAAAGGGGCGTGCGTCTGACCCGTCGAGTGCGATAGCGACCACCTCGGTCCTTTATAATAATAATTCAAGGTCGTAAATGCTATCTGGAGAAGTATTATTCAACGTAAGAGCTCTTTATGATCACACCTAGCAACCTACTCGACTCTCCCATATATACTGGTTTAGTAAAATCAACAACGTTTTCAATCAATTAGTAATTGATTGCGATCGACGCATGATGTCGAACTAATATTTCTGTGTTAGGAATGCTGTATATCAAGCACGGTATCCAGTCTTGCGCTAAATACTTGGCCAGATTCCACCCCATTCTTGAGCAAACTCGTTTTGATGCAGGAAAACAACATTTCGTAACATGAACGCGTACTGTCCGCTACATATAATTTTTATTCTCGATTTCTGCGTGTTCATTAACGCTTGGAAACGATATGGTAAATCATAGCAACCTTCTTCTAGTAGAACATCTCATTTAGAAAACCCAACTAAAGCTTATGTGACCATTCTCTACAGAAACACGTGTGCTAAATTGTTCCGATGCGAACGTCACCTCATGCTCTTTGGAACTACCGAATGGTGTTAAAAAAACTGTCGGGTATGTCCTTCAAATTGAACAAAATACAATTCTCAGCCTTGACGCTGGCGGTAAAGTCGGAGATGAATAAAAAATCTGCTTCACTTGGTTATTCTGTAACTAATGCTCGGAAATATTTCTCGATCCTAAAAGCAATCTTAATCATGATCACGAAGAGAACTGTCACACAACAGTCATTAACTGATTTACGTGTATTTCAATTGTTAACCTTACATGAGGTTGATAAATGTATATAGTCTACTGTTCGAGAAGTTCGAGACAACGAACAACTATGAACCATCGACTCGAATCATTGGCTCTGATGAAGACGAAGAGGTCGAAACGTTAACCGAATAAAGCTATTTGTCATCTTCGTGTAAGGTCAACAATTTAAATAGATGTTAATCATTTTACTACTAAGGTAAAATTAAGGTCGGTTTCAAAATTCATCTGATTCATGTGTGTTTTTGTTCCTTGAGCAGTGCATTTAGCATTGACATAACGTTAGTAATTAACAACTACACTGAATTAGCTTACCGAGTTTGTCAGCGGTTTGTTCTTATGGTTTTCGTAAAAACATCCTTTGGCGAGCGTAGCTGACTTTGGGGATTTTGAGATGCTATCACGAACCAGTTCCTGATACAGCACGGACAAAGCTTAACAACAAGGCCGACCACCGGCTCGTTTGTCCCATTGGATGCAGAATACATGTGAGTTCATAAGACAGCTGTCGTATATCAGCACTTTATTGTAACTCATATTTTTCAGATTGTACAACAAGCGCATTCTCTTAATAATAAATGTCTCAATTTCTCGACATTCGGCAAATACTACAATGTAACCGCTAAGGACTGGTAGGTGATTAATAATAACTGCAGTAGCTGTTGAAGAGTACATACCTAAAATGATTGTTAGCAATTTCTCTGATCAAAATACGTCCAAAATTATGGTGACTTTTGACAAATACAGCAAAAGGGAAAGAGAGAGGGTAAGTAAGTGGGAAATATTAGCAGCTGAAACTCTGTTGTTGGGAATTGACCTTGGTGTCCCTGATGAAATGATCAGTGTCTGATGAAGTAAACGATAGACTATGATAACGATTATTATTCATTTAAGGTACATTTGGTTCTGCGAGCCATGTCAAGCAGTTTTTAAAACGAACTGCGAATTCGATGGATGAATTAAGCGTACTTTCTGTTTTTAAGAACGTAGTATCAATAAATTTGTATCAATAGTTGTTTAAGACAGCGTAACCTTATGGAATGTTGCGGTAGAGATGGCAGAAATCTGAGTGATTGATGATTGAAGGGTTGGCTGACCCCATGAATCTCGACCTCCAAACGGCTGATTGCTATCGAAAAAGGTGAAGACGATAGCAAATGCGTTGCGACATCGTTATTCGCACCGATTGAGCAATCTTTGTCAATTTATCACAGAACATACAGATCAACTTAACCATATGAGACTAAGACGCCCACAGAGTGAAGTGAAATGTAACAAAAACTGGTGGCGATATCGGCTTTCCGTTCCCTTTAGACTGAATTTACACGACAATTAAGATACAGAATCTTATGGCAATTACATTTGCTTGTACAATCCAATGCCTAGCGTGTACGGTAAATAAAGGACTGTGGTTGACTTGACAAACTGAACAGCTCGGTAGCGACTCTAATCCGAACTGCTCACAAGCACAAAATCATTTCTTAAAGCGCCGCTATCAGCAAGAACTCTTTATTAATTTTGGCGTGAAAATTTGAAAGATAAGGTTGTTCTCGGTAACGCGTTCACAATAAGTTTCTAGTGAACGCAGTTTCCATTGGCAAAAATATTTCTGCACCATAAACGGAACCAATCGCAGTGATACGATTTTTTCTGTTCAATGAAATCTGAAGAAATTATTTTAAACACAGCCAGGCATGAAAGCTCGTGTAGCGCAGTGATTAGAGGGGCTTGTAATACAGACTGGAGCAGTCTATGATCCGACCCTACGCCAAAGCTCATCATGCTTTTCATCCTTTTAGAGTTGGTAAATTGGTATCAGGCCTGCCTGGAAGGATAGTAGCACTGACTCACAACGCCCAACGCTTTATTCTTACACTAATAGTTAGGCGAAAGATCTATCTTGACACCGCAGGATCAATATTGGAGAAACTTCGTAATATTACATCTCTTGATGTCGCTTTTTCATCATATACAGAAGTTCTACTGACCTCGTAGCAATAGATTAACAAGAGGATACTAGGCATCCCCTCAAAATTTCTGTGGCACCTCAAAAATGTTGTTTTGTGGCGAGACTGAAGCGGAAATGTTCCTAAAATGCCCTTTTAGGTATGGCACGTTTTCTTAAAATACTTCGAAATATAGTGTGAAATTTGGTAAAATATTTATTCTGGTATGCTCGGGTTCTTTTCCTGCAATTATTCGAATATTAAAAAAGTGTTGACAACGTATATTTGGCAGTGGGACGGTAGCGTAGTGGTCGTGATACCGTTCGATACGAAAACGGTGATTGTTGCACCCGACCTGTGGCTCACTAAGCCTTTCATCCCTCTGGGATCTGTAACTTGGTACAAGACATGTCTAGTGTCAGCCCATTGTTTGCAATCCAAGTAGAAATGCTCCACCTCAGCTATCTCAGGAGCCTATGGAAAGGCACCTCGACCAGCATTCAAAGAAAATCGTAAAGACGAAAATGCTCAAGAAGTAGCTGAAACCAGACGCGAAATGTTCGAAGACCTTGTGATCGATGGATGCAAAGAAACGACTGAAAGACAAGAAGTGCTAGGGTCTCCACACTAGACGTGAAGCTGATCGGGTAAAATAAATAGACGCACATGAGGATGCTGAGACATAAGCAAAATTTGGAACATAATTTGATCTCCGAATAACGCCATTCCTCCTCACGTGCTCTTCACCGCACCGACTGAAGAACTTGCTTTTGCTTTTCCCTCAGCCATGTTTTTACTCTTACGTGTTATCAGCAAGCACTTGTCAACGGGAATGATCTAGGACATTTAATTCAGTTAAGCCGCAGTTGTAGTTGTATTCACAATATGTTAACTATTATTTACTGCCAGCATCTGCGCCCTGA